AAGGATGTCGCGAATGTGCGCTGCGGACTTCATACTCATTGGGAAATGCGATTCCATAGTCTGTGCCCGGAGCGTTCCCCCATTGTAATTCTGGCTCGAAGGTGTTCCTGTGTCATCGCTCGACCGAGAGTTGTTCGAAGTCGATCCTGTTCCGACTGGGTGTGCAACTATATCTGATAACCGACAAAACAACATGAGTTGAACTGTGGGTAATTTGTTTTGTTTTTCAAGTGTTGCATTTGTATGAGCATTGGTTGTCCTGATGCCAGGTTGGGACGTGCGATTTCGCACACTTCGGCGGCTCTTACTACCGGGACTAGCGTTTGAGCTCGACCGGCGCTGGATAAAAAAGAATCGACCGGGACTACCGTTTGGGCTCCGAAGTACAGTGCAACAGAATATACATTAATAGATTTGGTAATAACGTGATAATAGTATCATAATCATAATGTATATATATATATATATATTTTTATTATATATTGTGTCATCTCATCATCATCTCATTTTGTTTCATCTTAATGTTTTGAATCATCATATATCATCTCTTCATTTCTTTAGTGCTCATTCATCTTCTGTTACTTCGCTTTTCTTCCCTTCTATTTGTTCTCTTCCGCCTACTTGCTTTCGGGCCACCCTGTCGTCTAGTTTTTTTTAAGGGTTTTTTTGTTTTTCATGTTTCGTGGCAGGTGCAGTACTTTGTGGACCTTGAAATGCTACTTTGTGGACCTTGAAATGCACATGTCGTGGCAGGCGCAGGACTTTGTCGATGTTGAAGTGCGGATTTCGTGGCAGGCGCAGGACTTTGTGGGACTTGGAGTGCAGATTTCGTGGCAAGCGCAGGACTTTGTAGACCTTGAAATGCACATGTCGTGGCAGGTGCAGTACTTTGTGGACCTTGAAATGCACATTTCGTCGCGGGACTTTGTCGATGTTGAAGTGCGGATTTCGTGGCAGGTGCAGGACTTTGTGGATGTTGAAGTGCAGATTTGGTGGCAGGTGCAGGACTTTGTGGGACTTGGAGTGCAGATTTCGTGGCAGGCGCAGGACTTTGTAGACCTTGAAGTGCAGATTTCGTGGCAGGTGCAGTGCTTTGCGGGCCTTGAAGTGCCGATTTCGATTTCGTGGCAGGTGAAGGACTTTGTGGATGTTGAAGTGCAGATAGATAGATAGATAGGAAAGAAATAAAGATAGAAAGAAAGATAGAAAAATAGATAGATCGAGAGATTGAGATAGATAAATAGATATAGACAGACAAATGGATAGGTAGACAGATTTGCGTTGGAATAGTGTAGGTGTCAGACTATCACAACAGTTTGGTGCAGTGAGCAGAAAAGCAAAGAGAAAGATTTCGTGGCAGGCGCGGGTGGCGGAGATGAAGTGCAGATTTCGTGGCGCGGGGGGGGGTTGGGGGGGG